ATATTTTGCCAGATGCTAAAATTTTCTTCCATATTTGACATTGATCAAGAAGACAAATTATTTACTTTGATAGTGACTTTTTGGTTGTCAAGTGAGTATTTTATCTGACACACACTTTTAAAGAACAGGCAACATTAAACATGACGAAAGTTAAGAGCATCCTACTCTGAAGGAACCTGTAAAGATCCAATCTCAACAAAGAAATCCAATCTTGGGAACTAAAACTGGAATTGAAAATACATTTCTAAAGCAAATAGAGATTGACCTCTGACCACCATGTTTTCAAGAATCAAATGTTGTAAATCCAGGTTTTGTATGAAGAACATCAGCCAGCAGAAGTTTGCTACTTCCTACTTATAAGGCTAAATTTAAAAACAGCTTCCAAATTACTCACCAAACTGATTGTAGTTCAGGGGTCCTATGAGACTAGGCAGAGTACTGACAATGTAAAAAAAAAAATCTAACTGGAGATACAAGCATGGTTCACAGTATGGCATTTACATTAAAGAAGAAAATAACATCTTGGGTTTATTTACAAGTATAGTCACCCAAGAAAGTTCAAAATATTAAGACTTGCTCTTTTTTATTTTAACCAACTTTCTAAAAATAGTCAATAAGAAACTGGACAACTCTTCTCTAATCTTAGAGGTAAATAAAAAGTTTTAGAAGACTAACTTGCAAAAGATGCCAGCAGTGCTTTGACTACTGGCTGATGGCCTATATCTTAATATAAATAAAAATCTTCCCTTTCATCTAGTCTCTAGTACCCTACTAATTCAGAGTCTGCCGTTTTCCAAAAAGCACTGACACAAGAGGAAGCAATTCAAGCAGAGACTCTGTGTACATATTACTGATAGCATCCTAGACTCTTTATGAATTTCTTCTAAAACTCTGCTTAAAGTTCTCCTTTGCTGGCATGCTGTGGAACAAACAAAAAAACTTTGATAATAGGCCACAAAACCACTTAATTCATTAGTGCAGATCAAATACACACTCATTATTTATTTTCTAGTAGACAAACATTTCTTTTCACAATATTTTTTTTTCTTTTTTGCTATCCTACCAGTGGAACTTTATCTTTTTTTGTTAGGTTTACTATAGACAAGAGAGCATTGGAAAATTTAGATTTTCCTCATGTATGCTAGTGTACAAACACAGACGCTCCATCCACTCCAGCGAGTTTATTTCATAAAGGAATTCAGAACACAAAATGAAGTTATGGATGAACCATAAACCCACGCATTTATCTTCAATTTAGTGCAAATGGTATGTCTTGCTGTGCTACAGAATGCTTCTTTTTTTCTGAAATAGGTATGTAGTCAGAATGAATAATCCCAAACTCCACTGTATCAAGTCCCACACAATGCAAAAAATTACAGTGCCTGCCCTCTGAGAAGTTTTCTGTTGGAATGAAGGACTGGTGTTGGGGATATCATTACAACCTGCTCTGCAGGAACTGCACTGATACCTTTCTCCACATAGCAGTTTGACATCACTGTCTTTCAAATACTAGCAGCTGAGACCAACCACTGACACATGCAAATTTATACATGAGGTTTTTCAAAATTAGTATGCATCCCTAAAGACATCAGTGAAACTTCTGCTTTTAAATGGAGCTGATAATTTTTTGAAAAATAAACCAAATAAATCACAAGCTTTAGTTATCCTGGGTTTTCCAGCCAGCAAATTTGCAATCAAAGCTCTTCGTATGTTACAGTTCTAGGCATGTAACATAATGCTAGTATTATGGAAATTGTGAACAGGTTGATATTTCTAGGATGTTATGACTTTTTGCTTTCTTACAATATATTCTAGTTTTCACACATAGCTTAATTTCAGCCAGACTTTCTATACACTTTCAGTTCTTGGACAGCTACAGTCAGCTATATAGCAAATACCTTTGAAACCTCCTCCCCAACCTCTACTGTCTTGCAAGTGAAGGTAATGTGGTATCAAGTTAAAAAAAAGGAAGATAACAAGTCTTCTAATACTTTAAAACAGAAAATTAATGAATAAATTTATTTTTGGTTAAATTTTTTACACCTTTATATATGAAAACTGCTGGACAGCAGCATTATCTCAGTTTACCATATTAAGGATACTGATCCTAAGAAGAAACAACAATTTCCAAGACCAATAGGAAGAAAAGGGGAAGGGGAATGGAATGTCCATTTCTGTTTCCCAATCATTACCACAAATTATACAGTCTCTAGTAAATCGGTGTTTTCAGGAAACAAATATATTTCCCTCCTGACAATTTTCCAAGGTACAGCCATTAACAAATCATAAGTGTTAAACACTAGAACATACAGAGATTGTGTGGGGCAGAAGATCGTTATTTGGAGCCACTATGGAAAGAATTATGTCTGCATTTATTGGTATCTTACTGCATAAAATTATCTAAAATAACAGGATTTCCAAATCTGCAACCCTCTTATTAGAGCTATCTTTATGGTACTTATGAAATGCATCAATATGAAACTATTCACTTCCATCATGGCTGATAAGAAGACGTAATGCTGTTCAGTGGGAGGTTCAAAGCATCTGCTGTGAAGAGCATAGGAGTTGATAAGCAGTGACAATTTATACTCCCATTGATTTTGTAGAAAGCAGAGGAGAAAGAAACAGCTCCACTCAATATGGCAGGAAGACAAAAATTGGAATATATGAATTACAATTAAACTTGCTGGGATGCTACAGTTAGAAAAGCTAGTCCAGATGACCTCGAACTATACTATGGATATTGAGTAAACACATACTGTATAGATCATGCTAAATTAAAGCAAAAAATCCCCAGAAACTAAAAAATGTAAGTATGAAGTCATACTAATAGCAGCCAATATTTTTCAAGTGCAAAGTGCAAACCTTGAAGAAATCCATGATTTCATAATCATCTCTATACGTCACTATAATTCAAAAAGCTACATTCAAGCAACCCCAAAAATTCAAAAACTAAAATATTTTTTAATTTTCTTCCTCAGTTGTGAATAATTTTATTCAAACTCTAAATACATTTTAAAAGTTGGCATAATCTGAACATGATATGTTGACATGACCAGCTGTCAAGTATGGTCATAGCAACTAAGCAGCATCCCCTTCCACACCAATAAGGAAAAATATACATAATTTGTGAGCTCTTAACATTCTCCTGTCACTGTCTGTGATGACAGCTGGGTACCACTAAAGGGAAAAAAGGCTGAACACACAGCATTGTAAATGGGAGGTGGGGTATAAGTAGTGTTAGCTGTTGTAATCACACTATCAATCACACCATTTTGAGAGCCTATTGGTCATTCAGATGCTTATCATATGAACAATGATGATACAGTTTATCAATAACATGTTCTTTTAATACACAGAACTATTCACATTTTCTCTGCTTTTTTTTTTCTCTTTAATAAAAAATTAAGGATTTTGAATTTCACACTTTTTTTTTCAGTACCATTCAGCAACAATAAAAGTATTTTGATTCAGTGGTCAAACAATTCAATTCACCCTCCTTAAGAGGGGAAAAAATATGTTCAAACTTTAAAAACAAAAAGCATGTCTTCAAGTCATAAATGTAAAGCACAATAGATAATTTGAAACATACAAGATTATTGATTTTACCTTCAGAAACAAACAAAACCAAAATAAAACCCCACTGAACTGCCTTGTACTTTCCCTTATTTCTGCCACTTGCAAGTAATAAAATTCAACCAGAGAAACTGCTGAAATCACCAACCAGATACTAATCTATTAATTTCTAAATATAAGTATGCCCCACACAGAGAAGGGGCACATATATCCTCCTTCGGTCATATTATGACTAATGTGCATCTCTATCAAGTCAAGACCATAAACAATTCAAAGCTGCATTCTGTCTAAATGGGTCACTTATAATGAGAAAGCATGACATTTACATATAAAAAGCAGATTGATCAGGGAGCAGAAAAATGGAATATGGCATCAGTGCAGAAAAATATGCCTTTACAGGCAATTTATATCAAATGAATGTGAGTTCCTAAATCCTCCTTAAAAATAGAAGTGAATTAAAAATAAATGGAAAAATGAAAAGTATACATGATTTAATGTAGCCAATAATCACCAAGATTGCCTTTTGTGATTGCAGTAAACTAAAATAAAAAAAAACCAAACCCTTGCTTCCTTTCAGTACTGTAATGTGACTTGTATAAGGGAAAAGACTAAACCCTTTATATTTCTCAGAGATTCACAAATTAATAAACAGTCTGCAACAATTTTAAATTGCACTTTTAAGTGTTAACACTTCCAATAATGTTAAACTATTTTCAAGTTAACCAGAAATAGTGGAACAGAAATGCTCTGAACAGGCTGCTTACATCTGTCTAGAGCAATTTCAATTGCAACATGCAAAATGAATTTCAGCAAAAATGCAAATATATACCATGCAAATATTAGAACTATAGCAAGGCTGCTTCAACACACCACAAAACGGCAGTGGAAAAAAGGCAGAAGGAAATTTCAGCACTGCCTAAATACATTCAAAATATACCCCATGTCTTTGTTCAGTCTGGACTCTCATTCAAGGTGTAAATACTGGTTACATTGTTAGATATCAACTGCAACTGGCTCCAAATATTGTGTGAGTAGCTCTCTCATAGTTCACACTAGTCTCCCTTGACCCAGCTAGACAAGCGTGAAAACATGAAATAAATGAAGGTTAACAAAGACTGGTCTGGGAAGCAGGTTGCTTTAAATGCTTTCTGCGATTCTGTGAATATTATTAGCATAGATGTAAAATCCACTATTTAGATTGCTTAATACTAAATATCACATAACGATCACCATATTAATGCTAAGTGCTATTGCAGAGAGGCAAATGAATTAAATGGTATGAAAAAAAAGGAAAAGAATAAATAAAAAATCTTTCCCCATCTGCCACAAAGATATTCACAAACCTTACATCATGCTGCAAAAGCAAATAAGAAACTGCAAAATAATCATCGCCTTGCAAACAGAAAACAATTTTAGCACAATACCTTTCTGTGTTTGTCCCTCTTCCATATTCTCTTCCATGGCTACCTTTCTTCACTAGAAACAGCTACAGAGAATTAATCAAAAGCTTCAGTCAGATGTAGGAAAGTGTGGATTTTTTTTCCCTGGGAAGCTCCAACAGCAGAGGCTTAGGCAAGTCCTCAGAGCTTAGCTAAGGCTCCCTCACTCTCCTTGTTTGCTTGGAGACAGGCTGTCAAGTGTAATTTCATTCAAATTATTCTTCCGTGAAGATTATCAATTTTTCTTCTCAAAGCTGCCCATTGTGTACCACTGTAAGCAGGTATTCAAATGAACAGCCCCTGAATTTTGGGGGAAATTTGGTCTGAGCCCTTATGGCAGCAACACCGATTCATAAGCTTCACTTAGCATATAAAATGGAGAAAAGAAATTGAGGTTTGCATTGAAATCTGTGTTTTAAATTGGAAGCTGGCTGGTCTGAAAACAGATGGAGGGGTGTCCTCCTAACGGGAAGCAGACCACCAACCCATAATTCCCCCTATTTGCCACTGAAGTGGGAAAGCCCAGATGCCTGTGGGTTCTTTATGCTGTATTACTTCACTCTCTCTCTCTCTCCCACCCACCCACACCTCCCCCCCCCCCCCCCAGCTCCTCCTTCTGTATCAGCACATTTAAGAATAATATGACTCTTCATTTCCCTCCATCTCATATATCTGTATCATCTGGAACTAACAACAAATATACGCTATTACCTCATAATATTCTAGCAAACATCTTTATAACTACCATTTTGTATGCAACTGTGTTTATGCACACATACAAGCACAATTTAATGCATACCACTAACCACTGCAAATTATATACACCCTACACATTATTTGTCAGTGTCACAGTAAACAGGAATTTAGGGGCAGTTCAGAGATTTAAAACAGTCCTTGCATCAATTTTTTTCCTGATTGCTAATATCCAAAATGAGCTGCATACTTCAAATCACTATTAAAAAACCTGGACCTTCTTAAAATGGTGCAGGACCCAATGTGGGTATGTATGTGAGGAAGCACATACAAACACACTGTTATGAATTTACTCAGGAAAAGCATAGGTTAAATACACTGTGAGGGCACCTACTAATTTGGGGAGCTCTGCAGTCTCATTTGGAATGCAAATTGGACGCTGCAGTCTAGTAATAAATTAGCATTTTTGTACCTAAGTCTACAGAGTAATGTAACATCATTTCAAGACTTTCATTATTTCACCAAGACTGCAATTAGAACACAAGTCCAATTTTTCTTTCCAGTTTTTACTTCTCATCTTCTGGGAAAAAAACTGACTAAAACTTACCCCCCAGAAAACCTACTAAGGTAGAAAATTCATATTTACATATAAATGATAAATAGCTCACCCATTACTTTATTCTATCTAAACAGATTGACTTAGTGTTATCTTCCAAGTCACACAAAAACAAAACAAAACAAAACCACAACAACAAAACACCCCAAAAGAAACACGAAGTTTTTTTGGTTGTTTGGTTAAGACTTTTTGCTTATTGGTTTGTTGTTTTTTTTTTTTTCCTGTACATAACTCTGTTCAAATTTGGTTCATAACAGAATATATGTTTTATAGATAAATTTAAATTTTTGTGTATATATAATTAAATAGCAGAATGCATATTTATTTTGCTACCCTATGCATTTCCTTCTCCTCTTTTTCCTCTTTAGTTCACCTTCCTAGGGTTCTGTTTTCTAACTGAAGAACAATGATTAGTTGCCTTAGTCCTCACATCATAGAACCATAGAATAGTTAGGGCTGAAAGTGACCTTAAGATTATCTAGTTTCAACCCCCCTACCATGGGCAGGGACACCTCACACTAGACCATGTTACCCAAGGCTCTGTTCAATCTGGCCTTCAACACTGCCAGGATCCAACTGATCATTTCAAAATCAACACATTGTGACTGCCACTACAAATGGAAGTGCAGCAACATCACAGCATTAAAGTATCTTCCATCTTTCTAGGAATTATTCTTTCACTTAGATTTAAAAGAAAAAAAAAGGCGTATTTCCTCTAAACCTAAAGATCTCCTGTGTAAGTCTCCCCGATATATTTTCTTTTCAAAGTATTTTCCTACATATATGTTAATATATCTTCATATTTTAAAAAGTGTTTGGCAAATATTTCACTTAGGGTGGCAATCACTTCTAAGCTTTGTTTCTTGATAATACCAAATAATTAAGCAACCTCTTTAACAGTGATGTTTGCAACAGAGGAATCTGCACATTGCTTATGAAACCAAATGACCTTTTTCCTTCAAACAATCATACAAGCTTTGTTTTGAATATAAAAAGTGTTTTTAAAAATTGCTGTAAAAGGATAACTGGCATAGGATACAATAAGTACTGTACGACATGAGTGCCTTAGAATAAAATAAGAAACAACTTAATAAAGAGAGAGAACTGCAAAGAAAGTAGGATCAGAAGAAAACCAAGACATTGTACACAACATGTAGTTAAACTGTAGAACTTGAATAGTAGGGAACTTTTAGTTAAGCAGGGTCTTGAACAGGGGAAAAAAAAACAAAAGAAAGGAGAATCTGAATCACAAAGATTGATGGATATGAAGATGCACCTCTGGACCCTGAGCTGCAAATTATTGGAGAGTAGAAGACTATTTTATGGAAAAGTTTTATCTTTTTCTTATACTACTTCTTAGACAGTCTGCTTTTGGACACAAACATATCAGAACTTGGGCTGAGTAAGTGCTTGGTCTAGTCCCCACTATGGTCATTTTCAAATCAGGTTCATACAAACCTTAATTTTAATGATAGGGTTTTTAACTTCCTAAAAAGCCTACACTCATATGCCAGAGGTTAAGATAAAATCACAGTAACTGGTGAAGCAAAGTATAGCATTGCCAAACAGCTTTGAGCTTTCCCCCCACTCCTTGCAATAATCTATTTTTCTGTGTGGATATTATTGCCATAAAGGTACTAATAGCTCCTCCTGTTAAACATCAACTCCTCCAAACTACATAAGTGTCAAAGCTCCTTCTTAAGAGGACTCTCTTGATTAGTTTGAGAGAGAGAGAACCTGCATTTTGTTAAGAAATTCATGTTAAAGCAGAAAACTGCCTCCTAGATGTTTCTTTAAAAAGTGTTTCTTTAAAAAGTTACAAAACAAAATGATGAATAGGTGTTAATCTTAAAAATCAAAAAAAGAAAAGAAAAAAAAGGAAAGGGAAGGGAAGGGAAGGGAAGAAAGAAAAGAAAAGAAAAGAAAAGAAAAGAAAAGAAAAGAAAAGAAAAGAAAGGAAAAGAAAAGAAAAGAAAAGAAAAGAAAAGAAAAGAAAAGAAAAAAGAAAAGAAAAGAAAAAAGAAAAGAAAAGAAAAGAAAAAGCTCAGGAACTGTTAAGAGTAACAAAGTAAACCAGAAAATGTAAACTTCATGTGATTTTCTAATCAGCAGCCACAGAAGCTTTTTACTTCAGCACCCTCTGAAACATGTTTTCCACCAGCGATATACAAACTACTTTAAAAGCATACCCAGAAACTACCCAAACTGCTAATCTTTTTCTCACAATTCTGCGCAGAAGGAAACTATTCTAGTAGTACCTACATACTTTATTACATTTAGACAGAACTCTAAAATTCCTTCTTAATGTGAGCTGAGGTAGTTGGTGGAAGTGATCATTGGACAACCATGCCAATTGTAAATGGCAAGACAAGACAGAACATCCAACTGTATAATGAGACTAAACAGCTAATCAAGAGAATAACTGGAAGCTGATGACATTAACAGATCCCCTGGTATCCCTATGATATTATCAAATATAGTTGAGCACTTGCAGTTCTGAACAGCATAAGACACCTGACTTTACTCCCAGTTTTGTATGTTCTTCAAATCAGTTTATCAGTTTACAATGTTATTTATGTTGCCAAAACTACTACATCTATAACTGAGCAAGAAAAATCAAGAGCCAGATCAAATTACCTCAGCTATGTTGCAACAATTTGCTTAGGACTGTACGAACAAGTTGTGATAGATCTGTAGAGTGAAGCAATACCCATTCTTTGTGTTTTAGGGGGATTCATTTCAGACTAATGACAGTCAGGTCCCACAGACTGGCTGCACTTTAGCAGCAGGGGTGGCATAAAGTAAAATCATGGAAGTATGTTCTGGTTTCATTATATGAAAAATAACTTACATTCTTAGAGAATATTCTGTGATGCAACCAAAATGCAGCAGGTGAGAAAAATTGGGACATTCACTTCAAAAGCTCACTCCTAAACTCACCAAAGCAGTAACATTGATGTACAGGTAGCAATTAGCTTACAAAAATTAGGCAGCAGACTATGAAAATCTGCGAATGGCTCACAAAAAAAAAAATTAAAATGGGATGATAAAATTTGATATTTAGAGCTCTCCATAATTACTATCTATCTTTTATATTCAAAACAGAAGTATAACTATAAAATTATGTCAAAAGAAATTTAAGCTTTGGAATATCCCAACAGACTAAGGTTAAAGGAAGCATTGAGAAGTTTTAAGACTTCCAAGATGCGTCTAATGGCCTGTTCTAAGATGTGTATTTCTCATTTACAGCTTCACAAAATATTTATCAAAATAAACAAAGGGCACTTGGTCCATCCTAGAGTTTAACTCATGCCAGACACTCACACAAGTGTCCAGGGAAAGGAGAAATGCTTAATGACTTGAAAAATTATCAGAATTAATGGAGAAATGGAACGTTAAGAGAGGAAGGAAGGAAGCCAAAGGTAAAATGTAACACTGATAGACTATTGATGTTTATCCAAATGATGGGATTGTGTATAGTTCTACTAATTCCCCACAGTTATTTTTCTGAGGAAATTGCATTCATCTAGAGGAACAAAGTACCTGTTTAAAAGAGGCAGTTATCAAAGAAATAGCAGGATAATCATAGAATGTGAAGACATTTCAGAACAGGCCTTCACCTGACAGAAGTCTTATTAATTAGAAGAAATAATTGCGTTTTTACTAATAATATCAATCATTATTTGCTAAACCATTGAGAAAAAAAGTTCTATACAAACACAGAATACTAAAACAGATGTTTGAGAGGTTATTACAATCCTACTTGTGTTCAAGTCCAGATGTTATATTTGACAGAGGTGTGATAGACATCCTGTCTTTAACAACCTTAATTTATTCTCATTCCTTCTACAATCTAACGCTTCTAGCAACAGGGATTTTATTGAACAGGAGACTGTGAAGGGGACCTCTGCAGGCAGCTTCATTATATTCTACGCTAATAACCACTAACATCATTATCATGTTCAGGAAATTAACCCCTTCGCAGAATTCTCATCGGGTTGAAAAAAATTCTTCACTGAGAAAATCTTTCACCACTGAATATATCCAGCCTTAAAACACAAGAAATAAGAACTTGTTCCTCTCAGTACTCAAATATGTATTTAATATATGCTGCATCAATCAAGAGGAGAAAAATAACAAAAACTTGATTAATAGGACCTCTGATTCAGAACAGCAGTATGCTTCCAGACTATTATCTGTAGCCATTTTAAGTATTATCAGCAAGTTAAAACTTACAGTTTGACTGGATG